ACGTTTTTATGGATTTCTATGAGCCATGGTATAAGAGGATATTTCTATGATAAAAACGACTGCAGTGGAATCATCCCGTGATCTACGTGGATATAAAAACATGCAATCACGCAAACCAAGTTCGTCCGAACTCAGAATAAATGCTGGGGGATCACAAAAACATTTGCCCCAAACGGTAATTGAAGTAGCAATAGGTTTTGCTGAAATGAAAAAACATTTTTATGTTACTAGTTACGGCTTGGCAGAAATATTACTGTCTGGTATTTAAAAGCGACATAAGTATCAATGAAACATACAAATGCGTGTTTTATAATTTATGTCAATCCTTCTCACCAGTTCATGCTGTTTTGAGATTTTAAAATTTTTACTTTATCGGAGAATTAGTTTAGAGCCCATTAAAATTTTTATGTAGACACAAGAAAACAGACAAAAAAGCAAATCTATAGAAAAGTGGTATACAGACTCCGAGAAATCACAACTGTTGTGAAAAGATAAAACACACTGTTTTAAAAAACTTTACGCCATCTTTTTTCTTTCATTTTAAAACAAGCTAAGTAAATGAAATCGTAGCATCCATCATGGCGCCAGGCCCCTCAATTCCCGCGTTTCTAAAACCACAGACAAAGTACTGGGCACAGGAAATTTTTGGATTCAGCCCAGGTTCCATTTACGCAACTGATGTGTAGCATTAAACTAATTATCGTTGTGCGATACAAAAACAAACACCTTGCGCTCCCAAGTCGGTCGTAAATCAACGAAACTGATTCCCCCTCGGGTGCCCTCCCAACTGTCGGATGACATAATAGGGTCCTTTGTATCGGGCGTATCTCGGTAACGAGCAGACGCAATGATAGTTTTATCTATTATCTCCGCACCTATTGTGTGAAACGAACGCATTCCATCCATCGAATTCGTTGTTTCCTCCTTGATGAGAGTGACAATGAAATTTAAAGAACATACAAAATATACATAAATTTACTTCGGAAAAATATTTCTTTAATCTCAAATTATACACTGAACATAAAAAACAAACGATTTAAAATAAAAATCAAAATCAAATGTCTTTATTCAACATAGGAGCATTACACTCACCTATTGATAGTCAAAACACTACCACCGATTAGGAAAAGAAAGCCACTGTACTGAGAAGAACCGACGAAATAAACTCAGCGGGCTTTTTTTTTTAAATAAGCAGTTTGACATAAATTCGTTAAAATACAATATAAGAACTCCGATTGAAAGAGCCTGGAGCGATCAGTTCATTACCAGAGTGTGTTATCATTTAAATAATCATTAATATTATAGTAGCCTTTAACACGTTCACAAACGTTCTTTTACTATTTTTTTAAATTTAGCTATTGATGCATTAAACGATTAGATTGATCACGTCATACAAATATAATTATGGAATGGTATATATGGCAAATATTTTGTATAAAAATATATGCATGTTCTTTTTTATTACAATCTGCCTTGAGCTTGAGCCTAAGATCACTAGGATAGGATAAGCCAATGATTACTTAGTGATGTAGCACTGAATCTTTTGGGCGCCACGCGTTTCGAACGCGTGTACATAGGGAACAAATTAGATGTAATACAGAAACATACATAAACCAAGGATTATTAAGATACTGAGTATTTTCACACTGATTACGAGTCCATCCCCGACTTAGCCGATTAAGTATCCATTCGGTGTTTCCTTTTAATTGCCCAAATAATAATACGACAACAGAGCATTTATTCTTTCACGTGAAGCTTTTAAAAGTCAATACCAATGTAAACGTTACGTTTAAATCATTTCGTTATATCCGCGTATACTGTTATAATTATAATACCCAATGCATAGTTTATTTTTTTTTATGTGAAAAGTTGTAAGTACTTTCAGTATTTAATTAATATAATATAATGTTATGTATGATTACAAACGCGCTTAACACACTGTGTGACCCCCCCCCCCCCCCGGCACCAACGCTGGATCCGCCCTTGCCTGATGGTAAGTGAATATCGCCGCCAATGGACATCTGCTACACCAGAGGGTTACAGATGCGTTAACAACCTTTTGAAAATTGGGCTCCGGCTGCCTCACTCACCAGACGAAACGCGAAAGTATTTGTCAAAGTTCCACTTTACGCTGTTCTTCTGTGAGGTCATGGTACTTACCCGGACGGGCCTGCCCATTCGTGCAACAGCCGAGGCCCTGCCACCGATTAAAGTTATACGCAAATGATTCATTCCTTTTTGTTAAATTATTTAATAGCCAAAATAGTACGTCAACCGTACATTCCTTATGTTGCGTGAGGGTGTTTAAAATCCAATACTAGTAAGTAAACGATTCGGCTGTTTAAAATCCAATAATTCGATTCCACGTACTGGTGACCGACGACAACATGGCTATACCGATAGACCCCAGATAGAAATCAAATATCCAATCGATATAATATACCATCCACTGGCCCACTTTATTAAAAACGCATCTGCAACGCTAGGGGTGATGCAAATATCAATGGGCAGCGGTTATCACTTAACATCAGGTGAACCGCCGGCACGATTGCCACCTTCTCACATAAAAAAATGTTTTTAGATGCAGTACAACCACTTAAAGGGCGAACACGTGTTCGTTGCCACGGCTGAGAATTCCATTGGCAGGGACTATCAACATTGTCGTCGTGATTGGCACGAAAACGACTGCACTGGTGTCCACTAAGCCACGTGGCCGTCCAATTTTCCCCTGCATTGAGCTCGCCCATTAAGATTCCCGCAGGATTAGCGGAATCAATGAGGTGCTTTGTCGCAGCGGGCCGCTCTCCCCGCCGTTCCCTGTAAACTGCAGCCTATCTCATTAATGTCAACGCATTTAAACTTTTTACCTACGCTTTTAAATAAAAAGAATTTATAATACATACTTATAATTACAATATAAGTGTTTAAATACACGTCAGAGACATTAATAGTTTAACCAGTTTATTCAAAACGTACACATGCAAATATACAAGTAAAGATTTAAGGATGATTTGAACAAAATACATATATTGGTACGTACTTACTAATTAATTACAACCGGTACTGTCAGTCTTGACATCAAAACAGTACTCAAAAGTTTCAACAGAAATATATAAGCACTCTCGAAATCATCTCTATCGTACAATTCTTGAGAGTTCAATGCATTTATTTAATGATTCGTTTATATCAAAATGCTTTCTATCTGCGATCGCATGTCGTTTGTCAAATTTTTATTTAAAAAAGTATCGAATCAAAAAACGGTAACGGGAATAAACGCGTTGCGACCAAAAGCGACCGCATGCAATCCCTTTACCATTGATTGATCGTTTTGCCCACCTGTTAACGCTGCTGATTACTCTTAATGTTATATTGTTGCCAGTGTTATCACACAACCGTTTTTTATAATTTTCATTATGTCAATGTGAAGTTTAAAGCGTTTACAAACTTGAACGAGCCTATGACGGGATTTTTCTGGAATCCTTGGAATATTTATGTAAGATGATTCTCGAACAAATCCGTATCTTTAAAACGTCAGTAAACGCCAGTTCCCGTTAATATACAGGAATCGTTTACCATTTAATTTTACAAAAATAAATAACTATTTTTCACTTGTCAACACTCGGTAAGTCACTTGTACAATTGCTTTTATGAGGAAAAACATTTATTTTTGTTTACCTTACCTTTTTATCATACTAAACTTTCTATTACTATAACCTATAACGCATATATATATATATATATATATATATATATATATATAATATACGCACATTTCATTAGTAGGCCAGTCGATACCCGGTAGTAAAATCACACTCTGAGGCCCCATCGCCCCATGGGACTCGGGACATCGAGTAGAAATCGATTCCGTGTTCAGATAACTATTTGACTCGGACTCCCAAACGGCCCCCGTCGAGTGTTTGCACATGTTAGGTTTGCCAGGTGTAGCGCGTTTTGCGGGAACATTATACCATTTGTTTTTGCAGGGTTACATTTTATTTTCATACTCAACAAAAGCTCTCATACGGAAACTTTCGTGGGTTAAAACATAAAATAGTTTACCTACATCATAAACCTTTTAAGAAGAATAATTGGTCTCCTTTTTAAGCTAGGCTTCGAGACGTAAGTGCTAAGTTGATTTTAAACCGACTTCAAAAAAGGAGGAGGTTCTCAATTCGACTGTATTTTTTTTTATGTTTGTTACCTCAGAACTTTCGACCGCGTGGACCGATTTTGATGATTCTTTTTTTATTTGAAAGCTGGTGCTTCCCATGTGGTCCCATATGAATTTCATTGGTATTGGATCTTGGGCTCCGGAGATACTTAGGGAACTCCTGATTCAATTATAAAATAAATACAAAGCGAGATATTTGAAGTCGGTTTTGTTTTTCGTTAATAAAAATATGGACTTGTCAAAAGTTGCACTGAATGTGATTTGTCATTAATAGAAGAAAAGAACTGGGGTTAGGGTTTACTTTTGTAGGCAGGCTACGTTCTGGAGTCATAATATTGCTGGGTAAGTTCGTGCTTTGATAAAATTTCTGGTCACCCTATAGAGGTGGCAAAAGAGTGTAATCGAAGATGTCGGACCTATTTGATTTGTTGTTGGCATAGGGAAGTATATTTTAAACAGCATCCGGAGCGACCGTGTTTGAGTGTAGTTATTTAAATTCAATTTGGTCGATCTTCAAATCCAATACGACACTTCGGTTTAACTAAAAATTTGCTTCTCGTGTCCGGTTTCGACTAAAGACGTATAAGTAAGTGGCTAAGGAAACGTATTTGCAACGCTCCGAGTGTTGCATATGTCCAAGGGCGGCGGTTATCACTTAACATCAGGTGAACCGTCAGCTCGTTTGCCACTTACTCACATAATAAAATAAGTGAGTAAAATGCAACCCTTAAAGATTACAGTACAGTTCGGTGTTACAAATCCAGGGCAGCTCTCTTAAACCTTCTCACATAAAAAAAAATATATCACTATAGATGTGTAACATCCTCCAATGAGCTCAGTCACCAACAACAGTCAGAGATCTATGGTGATTTTCCTGTTCCTTAAATTATTTGCGGTCTCGATGTGGACGTGCGATGGCAAGATTAGAACTTTGCTCCGCGCCGTGTTTAAGAATTTCCGAGTTAGTCTCCAAATGGACGTGTACCACCAGCTCATGTGCAGGGCAACGCTGTTCACCTGTTCGGCTTTAGTGCGCTCATAGGCGCGTCGATCTTAAACCAGATCAAAAAACTGGCGTAAGTCCGGCGTAAGTGACATTCAGACATCCAACCCCTCAGTTTGTCCCGTGACTATGAACGCTGAAAATGGTTCGAAACGTCCGGAAATAAAATTAAAAATAAACGCGACAACAACAAAAAAGAATAGTTTCATCACGTAATGTGTAATCGCATAAACACAAGAAATTATTATACAATTTCACTATAATTTCAGAAATATACGCGATGTTATCGTACAACTGAACACATAATAAATCTACAATTAAAATTGAAATTGTCAATTTACCGACACCGGAATTCAAACTTAGATTGCCGGATAGTACTGAATTAATCCTAGTGCCCGTACACTGAGCTTACAAATGTAACCTTAATTACATTTCGAAGCCGATAGTTATAACGGAAAGTGATTTACACTCTGGCGATTTTGTAGACGTATATACCACAAGCTTGATTGAAAATTATTATTTCCCTATATCTCAACAAGCTCGACCAATCTAATTCGCAGTCTAGATGTTCTAATCCCTGCATCTAGAATTCTAAGCAGATCCGGGGGGGAGAGGGGTGGATCGGTCCTTTAGGGGAGGGGGAGGCTGTTAAAACGTTAATCGAATTTGAACGTAATGGGATTTCTTTCTTGAGGGGCGCATTGCTAAAGGATTAATTTATATCAATTTAAATGGGTCTGATGTCAACAGGGTGTTACCGTTTCCCATTTTTCATTGGAAAAGTGACAGACAAAAACATCCTTGATGAATGATGAAACACAAAAGTATTGCACTTCCAGTTCACTGACAACTGTTAGTAAGGGGGGACAACTATAACGTAGACCCTCAAAACACCAGACATGTCGCTGAGGCGTTGCCATCCGATTACCTATGTCAACAGACGCAAAAGCATATATACTTTTCCCTCTCTTAGTCTACTATGAAGTCATGATGATTCTCCAGTCTCACATAAGACTTCCGAGCACTAACTGTTACTTGCGCTGTTGTTACTTCACAGCAGTAATAGTTGTTATAATACTACTATATACTATTTATTACTTTTTTCACTTCAAAAATGGAAAAAACATTGTGAACATCCTGTACACCGTTCGCAGACCGCTCTTACGGGCCGGTCTAATCCGTCGCGTTTGTTTGCGTCGATCGTAATGTATGTGGGAGCGCGCGCACGCGGACAAATTAAGAACGAACGGGCAAACAGATAAAGATTACGTATAAACGATAAAATCGAGTGCACACTTTATTCGGTCCCATAATGTAGACAGATTATAACAAGCTTTGACGCCTGTGTATCTCCGCCAAAATACTGCCATTTTAATTGTTCAGGAACTATGTGAGACTTTTCTTTTATAATTTTATCAAAATTCTTTGAAATAACCAAATAAATGCTACCATAAGCAAAGAGTAGACGTCCTTTCTTGCTATATAATATCACAATTTTTTTCTGTGAACTATAGTCAAGTCGACAATATAATCATTGGAATCGGTAAGTTCAGTTAATCTCAGGATCTTATTTCTTGTTATCAAGACTCTACTGGGCAAAGAGTTTTTATAATTTAGTGAAGAGCTTTATGATGTCACTCAAAGCGACCAAAACCGGGATTTATATAAATTTACCCTATAAATTTACCTTATATTTTTACCTCTATTCTCTTTTCCACCTAATTAAATTATTATTTGTATTCATTCTCTACATGCTCGCTTCTCAACATCCAATGAAAATGACGTTACTTTAACGTCTAAATTTCAACAACGCAAATTAATTACACGATTAATGCTACACACATGTAATGGACAACTTATTGGTAGGTATAAATTGACACGCCATCAGGTGAAAAACTTGACTTTATTTAATTGATTTTGTCCATCAGTCAGTTTCATCGTAAGAGTAGCACTAAAAATTAAATTAATTACAATTAATTAATAATTCAAATAATTCAAATTTTACATTGCCTAAAAATTCAGATTAAGTCGAAGTGATATAATTTACAAATGTCAATCGAACATAAAAACAGGATTGCCGATTGAAACGTTAACTCGAAAACGGTTACCATGAAAGTTATATCGAGTTGTCAACGTATTCACTTTGTACTTATAGTTGTAGAGCAATATATCGTTGGGTAAAAAACCCCTGAAACATTAAATCGTTCTATACCCTCCCTTCTCCTATCTATCGCCGTCGGATTGCACGTGTAATCTGCACTGGGCACTTTTTGCTCTTGCTCTATTGGCACTCCTACAAGCGTCCGATCCTCCTTACTCGCATACGTCCTCTTTCGTGGTCGTACCGGCCAGTGAAAATCCGATTTCTTATTACATATTTATTCATTCTATTTTAACAAGTTTCAAGCTATTACAATGTATCCCTTATGTTACATTATTTTTCTTAAAGTAAAATGCATAAGTATATAAGGGGGTTGAAGATAAGAGACAAATAAAATGGCCCTATAATTTCAGTTCTTGTAAAATATTATGGAGTTGTATGATATTGTCGTTCAACATTCGTTACACTTATACGTTCATTTACACTGGCTTTTCGTTATCACCATTAATGTTAACCAAATACTTCCAAATTATATTTATTATAATTTTTTGCTTTTCGTATTGAATGATTACGCAAATATACGTTAATTATAGAAAATATTTCAGTGGCTATTTTGATTGGTTAATCAATGCGAACTTAATAAAATCACCGTGCTACAAACGACGCGCACCAAGCGGGCATGGCGGATTGTCGCGTTGCCTAGCAACGAGACTAATTGGCGGGAAATCGGCGAACGGATTAATGTTACGGGCCAGCGACGCGTGAACCGAATGAATTTTGCTCATACTCGCGTCGATTAAATAATGCTTTTATTTGCTGTGCGAATTGATTACGACACGTGCAAATACTTTGTTAAATAACTAATATTTGGACAAAATATTATTATATAGATTATTAATAAAATAAATATATCCCTCTAAGAAGGTATACTAGATAGTACCTTTTAGCAATTATTGATTTTATATCAAATAGATTTCTAATATACTCGGACACAAAAATTAAAATCTAATGAAATTTTTCACACCTGTTATTTTACAGATCCCAAAAACATTGTGAGTATTAAAAAAGTGATAACACTCACAAAAAAAAGAGTAAAACACGTGGGAGTCGTTTCCCGCCACGTGCCACGTTCTTTGTGTCAGAATCTGTATGTCATCAACAATTGGCGCTATTTTTGAGGGGTGCACGATTTATAACAGTGTTGTAACACCTGCTACAGATTACGATTAAAGTAGTCATCAAATTGGCGAGTGGTATCAATTAATTAGGATTAAAAAGTTGCGCTTTTGTCGTTTTTGATTGTTGACGGTATTTCGTTTTTAAAAAGGACTGCACTTTTTTTATACAATATAGAAGGTTTTAAAAAATTGATTGAGACGCATGACATAAAATCACAATATTTTTCATTCAGAAAACGAATTTGGTTAGGAAATATTTATAGAAGCTAGCTGTAATGTATGATAACTCAGAAATTACCAATTGATTATAAATTAAATGAGCTCTGGATACAAAATAACATATCAAATTATTTTTATTTACGGTGGGGGAATTTTATGGACGTTCAATGGGGGCGACATTTTATGGACGTGATGGATATTCACCGATCATTTAATTGTAAAATTTACGTCCATAAAATTCGTTAACCACTATTATTAAATTGTGAAATAGAATTGAAACAATGAATTTGATATTTAGGTTTGGTTATTGTTTCTTATGTTATATACAAAAATTAACTCTTCCAGATGGTTTCTAAACATAAGCTATTACGAACCTTAATATCTACAGAATCAATAAAAGAAAAAGATGAACAAATGATGAGTACTACAATATAGCTCGGCAAACTTTTTCTCTATCTTGTAGTTGTATTTAAGAATGTTACCATGACATATCACCTAGGTTCCATTAGGGATATAATTCAGTTCATTGTCTCATTATTAACTCTCCTGTCAGGCATTGGAGTAACGTTATGGCTCCAATTATAACTCACCGGGCAAATGACGCCGTCATTAACGGCCGTTCATAACCGGCTTATCCGTGTACCCAGATAAAACGTACGGTCGGCATAACAAGTACATTCATCACTATTACACTATTTCATAGGAGAGTTATGTGGCCGTGACCTTCTTAATTGATAAGATTATAACTATACGATTCTTAAAAGATAAGTAATATACAATTAAATATGTAATTAATATAATGATTTTTTCCTTACACAAACCTTATGTTGAATATTTTTATATTCACTATCCACATTGAGATGACAGGGCATAATTAGCATGACTAAAACTCGGTCGGCATAACAAGTTTTTACACTATATAGGAGAGTTATGTGGCCGTAACATGTTTAATATAATGTTTATGTTGAATATTTTTATATTCACTATCCACATTGAGATGACAGGGCATAATTAGCATGACTAAAACTCCTTTTTTATATTAACATGTTCTACGTTTATGTTGAGATGCTTCCATATCTTATACCCTAAAAATTGTATAGTAAACGTGTCGATTACAAGACATGTCCTGGCAGTAATCCGTAGGGACCCATAGAGACCCGTAGAGACCCGTAGAGAAACGTAGAGACCCGTAGAGTACCGTAGAGGGCCGTATAGACTTCGAACTCGCTTAATTTTTAGTTCCTCATTTCGTTTCTAGCATTGTATTTAAAGCTACATATTTTCCACCGCTAACCTCAATAAATTTTTAGCTGTTACTCATACAAAGGTACATTTAATGCAGATAATACTAAAGTTTGTAGAAAATAATACAGATAATCTTATTAATAAGTAATAATATTAAAGAGTTAGGCATCTTTATTTAGGGTCTGATCTTAAAGTTATTTCCTACTGAAGAAAATCTTTATTGATTTGAAATAAACTCGGAACTGTTACTAATACAAACATACATGAAGTATAGATAATACTATTAATAAAAA